AGTTCTTATATTGCATATAAGAGATTGTTTATTTTGACGTTTATTTTTTGAGGTTATTTTATTTCACATTTTGGAACAAACCACTTGCCCTCACGCACGGATGCAAATCTAGTTATAGGTAGAATGTCATGCTGAAATTGAAATTCAATGACGGAAAACCAGTTGCTATAAAAAATGGGTTGGGTTTAATGCAGGTTCCTTTAGTATTTCAGGATTGAAAATGAAAGAGGCTGCAGAGATCATGAGGATTTTGTAAGGGTTTGTTGTTTTTCTCTGTTTGCCAATGATTTGCCCAAAAACAAAGTAACAAACCACCCTTTATGTATCTATGATACATTAGGTTTTCCAACTTGTGGCTTGATGGAATTTGATCAGTAACTTGGCAGGGCATATCCAGTTAAAAACTGAGATTTGCAGCCATGGCTGTATCTTTGTTCTTTTACCACTTGCCCATTATAATATAAGGATCAGACTCAGTTGAAGAGAACATTTTCTTGATGGTAGAGTATATGATGCATATTTAACGCCCGAGCCTCCATCATTGTATACCTTTTCTTAATGGCTGGTTTACCCTCTCTGCAATGCTAGTGATATCTTCTCCAAATATCAACAGCCCATATGACGTGTGGAAGTGTGGAACTAATGAGGATCTTTAATGGTTGTTTAATCCATTATTATTGTTCTCTTTTCCACTACATATGAAAATACCCAGTAATAATAATAATAATTATAATACTCATCATCATCATCATCTTCACAAAGTGAGTGCTGATGGTCCTCAACATTTGATTGCTCTCAATTCTCACTAGATTCATACCCATGTTTTCAGGATTCTGAGGCTATGATGATAATTGTTCACTTTTTCTTCGTTCGGCATGTGTTATTTCTACCTGTAACTTGGCAGGGCAGACATGCCAATGGGCATCTTTGCAGCCCTGGCAGTGTATGAAAATCACTTGCCCAGTACTCAAATCCGAGCCTCCACAGTGTGAACTCCGACCTCTTCGATTATAATTTTCAGTCTGTTGTCTTGTTTCTTCAAGATGCATGCAGCCTTAGACCTCTTTAAATAGGGAGGTTGTCTCGGTGAGACCTTTGCTGCATTGCTACATTTGTTTTCTGAAACCTGTTTGAAATTAAGAAGCAACTGAACTTTAATGTTTCCTTTTTATTAGTACATTATTTATCTGAAGGTAAAACGTTAGAGAAATGACTCTTTCAGCTCACATATTCCCTCTGTCCACAAATAATCTTCCCACTTTCCTTTTTCATCCGTCCCCAAATTATCTTCCCATTCCTTATTTGGTAACTTTTTTGTATTAAAATGACTTATTTACCTTCATCCATCTCCTCCATATCATTTTTATTTCTTTCTTCCTACCCTATCTTTCTAGTAACCCGGTGCCAATAATTCTTCTTCTTTTCTTCTCTTTTTCTTTCCTCTTCCTCTCCCTTTCAATTGTGTCCAGCCAGCCGCCCCCTCGTCTTCTTTGCTACTACAGTACTTCCTTCTTATACCAATTTTGTCTAGCCACTATACCCATTGCCATCTTCCTTTCAACATGGATAGATCTGACGATTTGAGTATTCTTTTTCATTCAATCTTCTGGTCATCGAGTCTTCTTCTACATCAGATCTGAAGGAGTAAATCTTATTTTCGCCAGATCTGAATGCTGTATAGGTTTTGTCCATCGAGATAGAGGGTTGTCGGCCGGTGGTGTTCAATTCGTAGAGGAAGAAGGCTAAGTCGAGGTCCTGACCATTCCATTGATTTCTGGTGCTGCCAGTGATGAGTTGAACAAGGACGAACGGGAATTTAGGTACGGAGGCCGGAATCTGGGTGTTGCCGGGGTTTGGCCGGGACGAACTGTGATTTGGGTTGGTGTTGCCGGTGATTTGGATAACTTGAGAGATGAGTTTGGTGGCAGGGAGGCTGGTTGAGTGGAGGAGGAGGGAGGGAGGGATATTTTGGGAAAGTCAATTACATTTTCACTTTACCTAAATCTGCGTGTCCGGACAAAGCGGGAAGTTTAATTTTGGACGGAGGGAGTATATATAAATGTTTTATGTATGTATGTATGTGTCTATCGTTCCATACATCCATACGTATCCAAGCATGCATGCATGTAATAAAACAATAAGTTAGTTATACCAAATATAGAATCGTTTCTTTCCATCCCATTTTATGTATCCCTTTCCTCCCCCCAACCAAACAGTCCCTTGCGAATAAAGAATCATAGCGCATGGTCGGGATTTGTGAAAAAACAGGTTGCTATAAATTTAAATCTCCAGCGGCGTCTGTATTTTATGGTCTGTGAGATACTGAATGAGGCTGCAGAGATCCATTGGAGATTTCTAAGGGTGGTTGCTCTCTCTCTTGGCCAATGATTTCTCAAAGAATAAACAACCCTTCATACATACAACATATACTTCCTTGTTTCACCTCCTCCTCCTCGTCTTCATTGTATCAGGCTGCGGCTGTTACAGTTACCATAATCACAGTTTCATAGATGGCATCTCGATGTCCATATGTGCGATTCAACATGTTAGATTTAATCGGGTTTGTTCACATATAACCGAATGGGTAATGAGTCAATGTTCGGGTCAGTTAGTATAGAGTCAATTAGTGTGGTGTCGTTTAGTGTGTTTTACATATTTAATTAATTTAAATAAAAAAAACAGCAGTTTCTAAAAGGGGCAGTTATGGGTAGTTATTTTTTGGAAGTTGTATTAGTTAGTAATAGATGTGTTGATTAGTGTCAATAGTTGTGTTGGTTGATGTCAATAAATATTCCAGGAACATAGCATTCCTGAATGTAATTCACAATCAATAAAAATTCTATTCTGCATACCAATCTGTTATTCCTATCAGTTTTCTAACAATTGGTATCAAAGCGTGTGCGATCAGCGGGAGGAAAAGGGAGATCTGCCTTGACAACAGATCAAAATCTTTGACAAGATTCTTCCTCGCCTAGGACAAGAATAGCAAGTGGCTATTTTTTCCTTTGGCAGAAGTATTTCAACCAAACAGTCCGGGAAAAACGAATCAGCGGGGTGGCTTTCGTTTAGTGGCTTGGAAGACGGAAAAGCAGGGGCTTGTCTTCTGGTTGATGGTCGATTGCAGGTGGCTTACGACCCAGGAAGGAATCAAAGTCTAAGAATTTTGTGAAAATGTCATAGGAATTAAAGTCGTGCAATGGAAGACAATAGGCAGATTGTGACTACAAGGGAGAATAGTTCACTATCTTTTACTGTTCCAATTCTAAGTGCTACAAACTACACTATTTGGGCTGTGAAGATCAAAGCAATTTTTAATGTTAATGGGATTTGGGAGGTGATCGAACCAGGAACAGAAATTGATCCAAAGAAGAACAATATGGCAATAGCATATCTGTTTCAAGCTTTGCCGGAAGAGATCGTGTTACAAGTTGCCCAGTTTACTGAAGCAAAAGAAATTTGGGATTCTTTGAAGACTCGCTTTGTTGGTGTTGACAGGGTTAAAGCGGCACGATTACAGACACTTGAATCAGATTTTGAGAATCTAAAGATGAAGAACAATGAATCACTTGATGATTTTGCTGGTAAAATTAGTCAACTTGCAACACAAGCAAACAACCTTGGGTCTGCATTTGAAGACAAAAGATTGGTTCAAAAGCTTTTGGGTTCTGTACCTGAAAAGTTCATGCAGATCGTTGCTGCAATTGAACAGTTTGCTGACATTAACACAATGCCGTTTCAAGAAGCGGTGGGAAGATTGAAAGCATTCGAGGAACGCATCAGAAAGCCAACTGAGGAAGGAGATACACATGGTAAACTATTATTCACTAAAAGTGATGGAAAAGAGAAGGTTCAGGAGCAGAAATGTGAGCATTGTGGTTGCTGGAGCTCAAACCGAGAAGACTTTGGACGTGGCCGAGGTAGAGGTCGGGGGTCCGGGAAAGGTCAGGATGGTGGTCGGCTTCAGCGGGATAAGAGTCACGTTAGATGCTTCAAGTGCAATGAGTTGGGACATTTTTTGAACGAATGTCCAAAATGGGATCAAAAGGAACAGATTGCAAATTTGATTGAAGATGACGAACCAACGTTGCTGTGAAGATCAGTGTGAACAAACAACGATTAAGGGCGTGATTGTTAGATTTAATCGGGTTTGTTCACATATAACCGAATGGGTAATGAGTCAATGTTCGGGTCAGTTAGTATAGAGTCAATTAGTGTGGTG